TGTTGACATTACCCAGGTTTTCCCCGTCCATCACTCTGGCAAGGAAGCAGCAGATCGTTCTCTGAGTGGGGTGCTCTGACCTGTGGGAACACGACTCAAGATCATCCACTATACCTGTGGAATAAACAATATGAGAATACAGTACACACAACATCTCCAGTACGATTCAAAATAAATAAAAGCATCTAAGCTCGCATTAATTATTATAATAAAAATAGATTTATTACACTGAAAACACATTACTTTCCAATAGCTTCAAAGTTTTACGAAACTCCAGCGCAGTTCTGTCTCTGAAGAGCCGACATAGCGACGCGAAGTAATAATCGATCATCCATGACTGGACAACACCCTCGACTTCAGTTACATTGGTTTTATCAGTCGTGCTGGATATTATGTCGTTCGACGACCCCTCCATCTTCTTGTTTATGTTGAAAACAAACGTTCCCGCCGAGCGCTGACTGTTCTGCCAGCGGAGTTTAAGAGGCAGTCTGGCCGCAGCGCCACCTGCCGGCGCGGAGGAAACAACAATAGGAACGTTTAACGGTGGAACTGAGTAAAAGCTTTTCTCAAAATCTCACAACTACGTCAACAACGAGGCGTATTTTACATATTATTATTAAAATATTTTGCGTTCAGCTGATTTTGCTGGGTCCGTGGGACGTTTGCCATTCCGCAGGTAACGTAGGCCTAGCTCCAACATGAAACAAATCATTATTTTGGTGAGAAAAGTACAGCAGAAGCCTTGGATTTGATGAATTATGTGATGTGTTGTGTAACTTAGGTGGTTTGTTTGAATCTAAAATATTGCATCCTGGTCTGCTGAAATTAAAGAAATTGGAACTGGTAGAAATCGACATTTTTAAATATGTTTAAATATACAAAATATAGGCCTAGAAGAATTGACCGTCATGTAAGTTTCATAAGTTTATCTTCTTATTTCCAACCTGTTTGTTATATCATGTTAATTATATTATACTCGTGTAGATAGTACATTTATGTTTATCAGCCAAATTAATACAATTATATTTCCTTTCATATAAATGACAACATAAGCATTTTCAATGCTCTTTAAGTTCTACCTGACAGGATTGACCTGTATACACTCTATTATATACATAAATATTTTAGACAAGCATATGAACTACATTAAAAGCAGAATCTTAATGGCTAATCTATAAAATCCCTGAATGAACTTTAACTTGAGGATTTACTTCAAATGGTTGAGATATTGCTTTCAGAGGAAAACATAATAATAAAAAAATTAGAATAGCAGCAAGTCTGCAATTAAAATGATCTACAAACATAAAGATACACAAAGATAGATATAATAAACGAGGCTATATTTTCCTGTTCACGCTCTCAAAGATTGTGTAGAAAATAAACTAACACTAGGTGTCACACTAGTTCAACCCATGAACACGTTTGCTAGTGAACCCTGGGCATTAGGGATGGAATTTGCTCAGATAAGGATTCAAATTCTCTTCTGTAATTATGCCAAACTTTGTTAGATTTTGATGATAAATGCATTTTTGACAAAATATACAGAGCAAGGTACTGAGCATAACGTTGCTTCAAAACTACTATTAAAATTGTTATTTTATAGAATAAATAATTTTGTATTTATAAAAAAATAAGAGTTTTTGTATGTAAGTAATTCTACACTTTGGACTTAAAAAAAAAATAAAAAATTGCCTACTGTACTGACTGGAAAAGCACCCGTGAGAGTGGAATACCAGGGGGTCTTAAAGGGGTCATATGATGCGATTTCAAGTTTTCCTTTCT